ATCAATATATTAATGACTTACATATGTGGCTTGAGATCGTGTATCAACCCATAGGTTTTTGTTCTGCCTGCGAGTGTGTGTTTCCTTAAACAATTCTCGAGTCGTAGGTGGCCTCTTCAACAACTTCTCCTACAATTCGAAATAAATCACAATCTCAAATATGAAATTATAGATAGAGTAAACTGAATTTTAAAATCACATAACAAGTTCGCCTTAGTGCCAGCCGAAGTCGTAGACCCACCAGTATGCAGTGACCCCCTTATTAGATGCCCTATTTATCTTGTTCTTTACGGAGAGGTTTTTAAACTCATCCGTACCCCAATACTCTTGCAAGGCATGAAGAAAGTTGGGTGCTATCCAATTAGCAATAGAAGGGTCCTGACGAGCCTTAGTGTACATCTGTCTTAGTCGCTTTGCAGTGTGACTCTTCCAGGCCTTGAAAATCTTTTCATCCTGGGGAATGGAGAATTTGCTCTACAAAAACATAATTTCATTAGAGAAGGTACAAACAGTCATATGTAATTACACTTAGTTAAAATTAATACACTATTATTACCTTCCAATCTTTGAACCATTCCATCTTTGTATCCTTCGGCACCTTTGGCTTTGACCATCGACTATCTGCAAGTTGTTCTAACCTCAATTCTGAACGCCTACAATATTCTTCTAAATCTTGCCTTGTCTTTACATTATCTTTTGTTCGATCAGTGTCCATTACTGTATTCATGATATTGTCAAATACATTTTTTTCTACATGCATCACATCTAAACAATGATGAACTAAGTTATCCTTCCAATATGGGAGCTCCCAGAATATACTTTGTTTGGTCCAATTATGTGTCATCTCATAACCAGGAAACCTAATGAATTTTCCTACTTTTATTATTTTTGGCAAGTGTCTAACTCTATCCATACTTGATGACCATTTAAATGGACGGGAGGGTCCTCATTCTCAACAGTTGCTTTCTTAAATTTGTAGGCTTGACGCTTATAAAGATGTTCCATATCTAAAAATCTCCTATGACAATCAAACCATGAATTTTTTCCTCCATGTTTTAAAGTAAATGCCTTTGTATCCTCCATACCAATTGGGCATGCTAACTTCCCTTGAGTCATTCATCCAGACAACATTCTATAAGCAGGAAAATCATTTAATCGTCCACATCAGTGCTACCTTCATGATAAAATTTTGCTTCCTTGATAAGTCATAAGTTACTACACCCTCACACCATAAATCTTTCAACTCATCAATCAAAGGTTGAAGGTATACATCAATTTTAGCTTTTGGATTTTCTGGACCAGGAATAATACAACTCAAGAATAAATATGGATTTTTCATGCTCATTTCAGGAGGAAGATTAAAAGGTGTAACCACAATAGGCCAATAAGAATATGGTTTATTGAATTGATTATTTAGAGCGAACCCATCAGCACATAACCCTAACCTTACATTTCTAGGATCGGATGCAAACTAAGGATACACTTGATCAAAATGTTGCCAAGCCTCACCATGAGACGGATGAGTCATTATCCCATCACTCCTTTTATTTTCAGCATGTCACGTCATGTAAGGAGCTGAATTCATAGACGCATACAACCTTTTTAGTCTAGAATTCAAAGGCAAATAATGCATTCTAGTTTGCGGTACATCTTTATGTTTACCACTTCTACCACATCTTCTTGGTTTAAACCTAGGCTCTCCACAAAATTTAATAATAATTGGTCAAAAGCAGCATCATCTTTGTAATACAACATGCAACCTTTCAAACAACAATCAATTTTGACTTCTTTTAATCCAAGTTTGGAAACTAATTTTTTTACTTGGTAAAAGTCTTTTGGGATGGAGTCAGGTTGGGGACTAAGCTCACTAATTAATGTAGCCCATTGATCAGATGAACTCTAACTTTGATTTCCTTCTGACTTTATGCTTAACATTCTTACTGCTAAAGATAAATTTGAATGCACACACCCATCTCATAAAGGCTTGTTTGCTACTTCTAAAACATTATAAAACTTTGCAGCCTCTCCATTAGGTTCTTGTTTAGCTTCAAAATCACGAAAAATTTCAAATTGAGGACCAACAACATCATAAACCATTTCTTGATAACGACTATTGCTTTCTTCCCAACTTACATTACCTATATTCTCACCTGATTGCAATATATTTGAATTACCTACTTGATTTTTCAAATTAACTACTTCCCCATGCTCAGTCCATATCCAATAATTATGTTTAAATCCAAACTTATACAAATCATATCTAATTGAATCAATATCCAAAAACTTTCTACACTTACACTTAGAACATGAACACCTTACTTTTTGGTTGGTGATGAATTACTGTGAATTACAACAGACACGTATGAATTTCTCTATACCCTCAAAGAATTCAGGTTTTATTCCCCCTCACTTGGGTGCAACCTATCATACATCCACTGACGATTTCTGAGAAACATCTTCCTCAAGAACTATATAAACCTAATACAAATATACAATGTGGTATCAACCTTCTATTATACATTATACAAATTTTTAATATAAATTTTGGCAGAATCTCCCCTAATACATGTCAATTTCCTTACATTTGTTTACTACTTTTTTTTATAAAAATCAAAATTTCACCACACAACTAATATATTATATAACAATATATTAATCGATACATCAAATACAAACACATCACAATCCTAAACTGTTCTAGAGCACATCCCCTTGTAACTCCACAACATGCATATTCTACAGACTCCACAAACACAAACAATCCCACAACACACAATAATTAGGTTCGGAGAAGGACCTCTACGCCCTTCCCCCCAGTCATACAATCTCCAATCCTACAACTCTATCTTAGAAATTTTAAGTCTCTAAAAAATATAAAAAATTAAAAACCTAAATCGATTAAAAGTTTGAGTATCGTACCAGGAATACAATGATGCAAAAAATCTTTCAAATGGATGTTCCAATCACTCGCAAAGGTCAGAACACTGAGCTCCTAGAGACAGAGAGAGAGGGGCGAGAGAGAGAGAGTTATGAAAAAATGAGGAAGGGGAAGGGGGAGGCGCCGTTTTATGGGTTTCAGTCATTACAGACAGATTTTTTCGTCTGTAAATTCATCAACTCCATTTACAGACAGAAAAATCCATCTATTATTTGCCATCTAAAAGGTCGGTTAAAAACGACTATATTTAAAGACGGATAAATCCGTCTATAACTCCCATTATAAAATTCCCTCCTATTTTCAAATTACAGACGAAAAAATCCGTCTGTAATTCCTGTCTATACGATTTCGTGCCAAATGACAGACAACCTACAGACAAATTTTACAGACAAATTTTACAGAAAAAAAAAATCCACAAATCCATTTGTAAATCGTCTGTAAATAGCGCTTTTCTAGTAGTGAAATAGAAGTGGTCAACAGATGCCTTGAGACTTATTTGAGATGCATGTGTTCTAATACTCCACAGCAATGGCTTAAGTGATTGCCTTTGGCTGAATTGTGGTACAACACAGCCTCTTCTTGCACAATTGTTTTATCTTCTAAGTGAATCTAAGCTAAAATTGGTGGACAAAAGTTTAGTCAAGAAAGAGGAAATGTTAAAAGTTTCAAAGTTTCATTTAAAGCATACTTAAGATAGAATGAAATAGTTGACAAACCAACACAGAACTGAGAGATAATTTGGCATAAGAGACATGGTTTATGTGAAGTTACATTCCTATAGGCAAGTTTCTATTGCACACAGAAGCAATGCCAAGTTGGCACCCAAGTATTTTGGTTCTTTTAAAATCCTTGATAATATTGGAATTGTTGCTTATAAGCTGCAGCTTCCTGCTTCTTTAAAAATTCACAATATTTTTCATGTTTCTCAACTAAAAAAATATGTTAGTGACACAATTCAAGTTTTATTATTCCGTTTCATTCTTCTTCTGATGCACTTGTTGATAAAGAACTTGAAGCTATTTTGAATAGGACTGCTGTCAAGAAAAGAGGCCAAACTGTCACTAAAGTTTTGGTTAAATGAAAACATCATCTTTTTAAGGATTCTACATGGGAGTTCTACCATGAACTAAAGAAAAAGTTTTCCTTTTTCAATCCTTGAGAACAAGGATGGTTCAAAAGGGAGGGGATTGATATGTGATTTATATACGAGTTAGATTAGTTGGAATAAGAGCTTAGAAGGATGATAGTTTTACAAAGTTAGTTAAGACTTTTCATTAGGTTGGTTGTAAATTACAACTATAAATAGAAATTCTTCATTTTTTTAATATATCATATCACAATCATTATAACTCTTCTTTCTATTTTCTTCTTAGATTTAATAAATTATTCAGAGTATTTTTTCTTTTCCAAAATTCCCTCTTCGTTTTCTTGCATTCTGTTTCTTCCTTATCATAATTGAAAGTTACAAGATTTATTTTTGTTATTTGACAATCATTGGTAGAAAAATAGGAAAAGATTTGTATGAAAAGTAAGTCTTACTCACATTTCATGCAAATCATTTTAGAATAATGGAAGACCAGTGTGCCTGTCTCACTGCGTCGATAGATTTAATTTCTTAAATATCTTTAATTAGATTTAGATTTGCTTCTATCGTAAAGTTATCTGAGATTTAGTTCTCTTAAATTTAAATTTGTAATTACAATTTATAAAATTTGATTTTTAAAATTTCTAAGAAGAAAAACGAAAAAAAAATTGTAAAAGGAAGTGAAAGACACATTTCATTCAAAATCATTTTTAAAAATTAGAAAAGTGGTTGAAATAATATTGAGACAGAGTAAATGCACGGATCATTAACTTGCTCAAAAAATAATCAATAATTATATTATAAGGATTGAGTGTTTATTAAAAAGTAAAAATTAAAATACAATTGAAAAAAATTTTAAAATAAAGTATTTAAATAAAAAAATTTAAGTTTTAAGTGAGATAAAATAAACAATTAAAAATAATTTACAAAAGAATAAAATTTTAAGCGGTTAGCCATTTTTTTTCATTTTTATTTAATTTATTTCGTTCCTTCTTCTGCAAACAACGTCCCTCCAAAAGATTCAGGAAGAAGCCATTGTATCGGTGGATACTCTTCTGCTCCAGTGCTCTCCGTTTCTCAGAATGAGTTCGGACTCGTTTCGTTCAGGGAGTTCCTTAGCTCCTAATTCTAAACGAAGTTTCTCTAATGCTACATCTTCCAACCACTCCAACGATAACAGGAACAGGAACAACAACAAGAGGAAGACAACCACCAACCAGAAAACCCTAGGCGTCTCTTGGGGCTCAAATTCTCGGTCCTCTTCTCGAAAATCCGCCTTCTCCGATTTTGGCAGGTTTTTTTTTTATTTCTCAATTATTGTTATCTTCATTTCTTATCCGATCTCATTTGTTGAAGAGCAATGGACGATGCCAATTTTATTCAGCTTAATTGGTAACTATATTACGCCAGTGTTTCTAGTTTTTTAAATCTTTTATTGACACTGTAAATGCAGTTATATGATAGAGAAGAACCGGAAACTACACAACCAGTTTGATGCTGAGGCTTCCACGTCTTCGGTTAGTGGCTCTTGTTCTGGGAAGCCTATATTCAGAGGAGTTTCAATTTTTGTTGATGGTTTCACGGTTCCTTCCAGCCAGGTTAATCGTATTTCCTGTTTCGTTTTTACGACTCTATTTATTTCTCCTTGATTGCTTAAATTTGAATAAGGGGAAGTGGGTGGGCGGAGTGGTAGGTTTATCAAATTTTATTGACAACTTGGTCGCTTAAATTTGAGGTTAATCGTTTTTTCCTGTTTTGTTTTGAGTTAGTCACATATACTCTCCGCTTTGGGTAAAAAAAAAAAAATCTGTTTTAGGGAGTACATGACGTTAATGGCAAACATGTTTCAGGAACTGCGGAACTACATGGTAAAGTATGGTGGAAGATTTGAGAACTATTTCTCAAGGCATCGTGTAACACATATCATCTGCAGTAATCTTCCTGATAGTAAAGTTAAGAACCTGAGGTTTGACTTCATGTCCTTCTTTAAATTTTGAGGTTTGAGTCCTACTCTTTTGCATTACTTAAATTCAACTATTGGATGGTCCAATACAGAGCCTTCAGTGCAGGGTTGCCAGTGGTGAAACCCACTTGGATTTTAGATTCGGTTGCTGCTAGTAGACTCTTGAGCTGTAAGTTTTTGTAGTTTTCTTGAACTTGTATTGATTTTGACTTCTTTGGAAAAAATGCCTACTTTGTCTTTTGTGGGGAAGGAAAAGGATGAGGGGCGCTGATGGAGTGAAAATGATAAAACCTCTTTAAGAAGTCAAACTTTACTATCTGGTCCTGCTTTTTCATTAATTTACTTATTTACTTCATTTTTTTCTGGGGATATGATAATATTTTATTTGTCTTTCTAAGTCATCATGTCTCAAGTGATTTAAATTTTGCTTTGGTAGGGATGCCTTATCAACTTGACCAGCTTCCTAGTAACCAACCAAAACTGTCAGCCTTCTTTGCATTGAAAAGCAGCAAAGTATCAGAGGATGCTTTTACAAGTGCCCTTTGTGACATACAGTCAGACATTGAAGATTCATCTGTGAGAGTTGGCCGATCAGATTCAGAGGATAGACACTCATTCAAAGTTGGGGAGATGGTTGAACTTAGTGTGCAAAGCAGTACTGAATCTGATCATATTGTCCCTGAGAATGCTAACGCAATTATGATAGAAGAGCTGACTAGTGTTGGAGTTAAGTGTGATGAAGAAGAGCATGCAGGAGGAAGCGATACTCATACTAGATATGAGAGAAATGTTGAAAGTGAACTTGAACCTAATCATCAAGAACCTTCTACATCAGTTAGTAATCCTTGTTCTGATGAGCAGAAAGTAAAAGAATTTTCAAGTTCTTTGGCCACTAGGCCTTCTAAACAGTGTCATTCAACTCTTGAAGACCCAAATTTTGTGGAGAATTATTTCAAGGTAGCGAAGTTGGATTTTGGATTTTCATATTGCTTGGTGAATTTCTGACTTTCTTGTTGGCAGTTATTTTCTTTTTTTTGTTGTTGCTGTACTAGTCGTCTGAATCTTATGTATTACTTCCTTATACTGGCAATCAAACATAAGAGTCAATGATTATTATTTATTGCTTCACAAGATAACATCTATTACAATTCAATAGATAAGGTGGATGTACTGATTACCCCTGTGCATTATGTTTTGTGTTTGCCATATCAGTTAAAAAAGAAAATAAAGATTGAGAAGGAAACTTATGTTGGTGGGAGGGAGGAATGGTGGTGGAGAGTATGACTTTAAGTATGTAATGCTATCTGTGATACCCCGGTATGATATTGACTTGCTACTCGCTTTAATATGGCATGATTTTCCTGTCTCACATTATCATAACTTTTCTTGCATTTATACTGTTACCAATCCTTTAATCTACACTGGGGAAGGCATTATTTTGCAATATCCTGACTGAAGTCTGGTATATGCAGAACTCCCGGCTACACTTTATAGGAACCTGGAGAAATCGATATCGAAAGCGTTTTTCCACCTTGTCTACTGGGTTTAACAATGAAAATTCTAATATTAGTGCCTCTGATATTTCTCGTAACTCAGTCATTATCCATGTTGACATGGTAAGCTGTAGATACAAAGATGTTAGAAAAATTAACTGTTGTCACTTAATTTTCCTTTAGATTTTCGATAGATATATTATGTGACTGTATGCTGTCCCAGGATTGCTTTTTTGTCTCAGTTGTAATTAGGAACCACCCTGAATTGTTGGACCAGCCTGTAGCTGTGTGTCACTCAAATAATTCAAATGGAACTGCTGAAATTTCCTCTGCAAACTACCCAGCTCGTAGTTATGGTTGGTTATATGCCAAGTTGTATTTGATAATATGACTCAGTCAACTATATTACTGGTTTGTCCTTTTCAGTATGTCACTTGTGTTTTTTTATCATTGCTAGGTATTCGGGCTGGTATGTTTGTTCGAGATGCCAAGGCTCTTTGTCCTCATCTTGTTATCTTTCCATACAATTTTGAAGCTTATGAGGAAGTAAGAAGCAGTAGGGTGTCCATAGTCAAAAGACTTTGAAAGCAAAAATCCTGAATGTTTTATTTTATGTCATGTTATCATACCTTTATCTTTTTTCCTGTTTGATTGATTTTTATGAAGATATCTTTGACAATTTGCAGGTAGCTGATCAATTTTATAGTATACTGCATCAGCATTGCAACAGAGTGCAGGTCTTCTATGGTTTTACAATCTATAAATGCATTGATAGGGTGGCAAATATGGAAAATACTATAAGGAAGGGTGATGGGCCTGTGTTTGGTGAAGGGACAGTTTTACAAAAGCCCAATGTGTGGAGAGTCTATATTAGGAGACAAAAAATGGAGCCAGGGAATAATGATTAGTTAGTTAGAGGGAGGTGACGTGGAAGGAATCCAGGAAATAGGAGAATTCTGGTATATGGGGAGAGAAGGGAGTGGGAGTGAGGTAGGTAAGAATATTGTGGGTTTTGCTAAGGAGAGTTTACTCTCTGGAGGAGTCAATTGCTGACTCTGGGAAATCTACCTTAGCATTGTAGAGTTTGAGCTCTTTTACTCAGTTTTACTGCATAATTTGATTAATAACAGCATATATAATTTGTTTTTATCATTGGTCTGACGTGCCGAATCTCGAGTGAGGAGCTAGCTGTGTGTTTCATTCCATGCCCTCAAAAATGTCAGATCGTTTGGAACTGTTGGAGGAGAGATTGACGGGGCTGGAGAGTTCGGTGCGCCAATCATTGGTCGAATTCTGCCAATCAATATTGGAGGAATTTGCCAAATTAAGTACTAGCTATTCTGAAATCCATCATGAGTCTTTTTCTGAGACGGACTCATTGATTAAGTATAGATGGCGGTGAAGAAGGTGAAATTACCCATGTTTGATGGCATTGATCCAGTAGGATGGATCACCCGAGCATAGAAATATTTTGAAGTACAAGGGTCAACGGAGGACGTGAAAGTACGATTGGCCAAGTTAAGTATGGGATAAATTAAAAAGGGAGCTGATCGGATGTTATGGAGGTTGCTGGAGTGATAATCCATTTGAAGAATTGAAAAATTTATCTCAGAATAGGAATGTTGAGGATTACTTGCTGGAATTCAAATTCATATCCTCACAGGTTCCGAGGTTACCAAAGGAGTAATATCTGGGGTATTTTATGGAAGGCTTGCAACCGTAGATTTAACGACGAGTTCAAACCTTTAGCCCGGGGAATCGTTTACAGGCTATGCATTTGGCTAGGGACGTGGAGGCAGAGTTGTATGGGGATGAGCTATTGCGAGGAGGAGGGTCACGCTAGTGGAAAGGTAGAGAATTGGGCTTAGGTCAGATTGACCGAAATGGACCTAGATCAGGTCAGAATTCATACGCGGGCAAGATGAGTGTTGGGCGTGGCCCAATTTCGGGAAACCAGTCCAGGGCGTATTCCGTAGGGAGTTCGAACCCCAACGAGGGGCGTACCACCGTCCCGCCAAGAAGTTGCGGCTGGAGCGCGAGCCCTAGTGAGTCGCGCACCACCGTCCAACAAGGAAGTCACGACTATAGCGACTGTATCTCCACCGTAGAGCGAAACCGAGGTACGCGACACCTTCCATATTCAAAATTGATGAACGGCAAGGCACAGGGGTTGCATTTCTGTCGTGGTGAGAAGTATCATCCGCTTCATCATTGTGCCGAACGACAATTATGTTTGGTGGTCCTGGGAGACGATGAAACCATTAACGAAGCTGGGGAGGTAATTGCCATCGAAGTTCGCGAAGAGGATGAGGAGCCTACCTTAGATTGTGGATCCATGGGTTTTTTTGGCAAAGTTAAGACTGACCGGAGGGGACGAACTCCTCCCTCCTCTTTGCGTTTGGGTGGGAGTATCAATGGCGTTTCAATGGTGGTTTTCACGAGCCACAATTTTATCTTGCCAAAGGTAGTTGCTGCTTTGGAGCTTGAAGTTGAGTTAGGGAAGCCAATGAGGGTGTGTTTGGGAGATGGCCATCGAGCTGTTATAGTGGGACAGTGTAAAGGAATGGAAATTCAGCTTGGAGATTTTTCCACAGTAGTGGCACCTTATGTTATGGAACTTGAAAATTTAGATATGATTTTAGGAGCTGCTTGGTTACAGCAGTTTGGCAAAGTCACTTTTGACTGGGAGGACATGACCCTTAGTTTCTGTTGGTAGGATAAAAAAATTGAAGTGTCACTACAGAGTTTGATGGACAGTGATGTTCGAGGGGGTGAGTCAGTGAAACACTAGGGGCTGTCCAGTGAAGAAAAAAAATGATATTCAGTAAATTTGAGTATCGTTTTCTGCAGTATTTCGGGAACCACAAGGGTTGTCACCCCCCAGACAAGTTTCTCATTCCATTGCATTGCACCAGAAGGCGAGACCTGTGAGCGTGCGGCCCTATCGCTATCCTTATCATCGTAAGGAAGAGATTGAGAAACAAGTAAATGAGATGCTGCAACAGGGTATTATTCGACACATTTCAAGTGCTTTCTCTAGTTCAGTAATATTGGTCAAGAAGAAAGATGCTTCTTGGTGCATGTGTGTGGACTATAGAGAGTTAAATAAGGTCACGGTACCGGATAAGTATCCCATTCCAGTAGTGGAAGAATTGTTAGATGAGCTACATGGAGCCATTTATTTCTCTAAATTGGATTTGAAATCTGGCTATCATCAGATAAGAATAAAGGAGGAAGATGTTCACAAGATGGCGTTTCGAACTCATGAAGGCCACCACGAGTACTTGGTAATGCCGTTTGAATTAACAAATGTCCTAGCAACTTTTCAGTCTACAATGAACCAAGTGTTTAAGCCTTTCTTAAGGAAATTTGTCTTAGTTTTCTTTGACAATATATTGATTTACAGCAAAAGTTGGACAAAACATGTAGAGCATTTAACTGCTGTTTTGGAGTTGTTACAGAGTCAGCACTTTGTGGTGAATCAAAAGAAGTGTGTTTTTGGGAGTAGACAAGTAGAATATTTAGGCCATTTGATTTCTGAACATAGGGTAGTAGTGGACCCTGCAAAAATTCAGTGTGTAGTTGATTGGCCAATTCCTTAGAATGTTAAAGGAGTAAGGGGATTTTTGGGTTTCATCGGGTATTACGGGAAATTTATTCCTGGATATGGTAAGATAGCAAAGCTTGTTACAGAGTTGACCAAGAAAGAATGGTTTAATTGGAGTCCCAAAGCATTAGCAGTTTTTGAATAATTAAAAATGGTCATGACTAAAATTCCTCTTTTAGCTTTACCCAATTTTTCTTTACCTTTTGAAATTGAATGTGATGCGTCCGGAGTGGGCATTGGGGCAGTATTGATGCAGAATAGATAACAATATTAGCAAATTAGCCTATGAAAAAAGGTTAATGACACTTGTGCTAGCTGTGCAGCATTGGAGGTCTTATTTGTTGGGTAGAAGTTTCAAAGTGTATTTAGATCAAAAGAGTTTGGGGCATCTTTTACAGCAGCGAATCACCACTAGGGCCCAACAGAATTGGTTGGCAAAGCTCTTGGGGTATCAGTTTGAGATTATATACAAGCCTGGTCCTGAGAATGAAGCTGCGGACTCCTTGTTTAGAATGTTTGAAGATGGCGAGTTAAGGCAGATTGCCTCTTTTCCCATCTGGTTCTAGGGCCAGCACATAGCAAGGAAAAAGAATATGACCCTTTCTTGTCCTGGGTTCAGTTTACAACGAGGAATATTGTTATACAAGGGCAGGTTGGTGCTACCAGCAAATTCGACTTTGATACCTATGATTTTAGTTGAATTTCACTCCTCTCCAGCAAGGGAGCATTTGCGATTTTTGAGGACATATAAAAGAATTGTTGCCAACTTATATTGGGTAGGTATGAAGAAGATGGTGCAGGACTTTGTCAAGCAGTGTGATGTGTATCAATGCCAAAAATATGTTGCAACCTTTCCAGCCGGTTTATTACAGCCGTTGCCAATCCGAAATAGAATTTGGGAGGATATTTCTCGACTTTATTATAGGATTGCTGAAATCAAAAGGGTTTGAAGTTATATTGGTGGTGGTGGACAGATTGTCTAAATATGGGCATTTTATTCTCCTTAAGCATCCTTATACAGCAAGGAAGGTAGCAGAAGTTTTTTGCTAAAGAGGTGGTGCGGCTTCATAGTATACCGCAATCTATTATTAGTGACAAGGACCTTTTGTTCATGAGTTTGTTTTGGCAGGACTTATTTCGTTTACAAGGGACCAAGATAAAGATGAGCTCTTCATATCATCCGGAGACCGGTGGCCAAACGGAGTAGTGAATAGGTGCTTGGAAGTCTATCTCAAATGTTTTGTCTCAAACCAGCCTAAAACTTGGTCTCATTGGGTTCCATGGGCAGAATTATGGTATAATACCACATTCCATGTATCCACTGGTATGACCCCTTTTGAAGTGATTTACGGGAGCAAACCACCTACATTGGTGCGGTTTTCACAAGGGGAGACACGTGTTGAGGCCGTGGCAGCAGAATTGGTGGATAGAGATGAGGCTTTGTGACAGTATCATTTATTGTGTGCACAGTAGCACATGAAAAAAAATTTTGCTGATAAAAAGTGCAGATTTCTTGAGTTTGATGTGGGTGAGTGGGTATTCATTAAGCTGTGCCCTCAGAGACAGCAAACAGTAGCGCCGGATTAATCCCAAACTCGCTCCACGCTATTATGGTCCTTTTCCTATAATAGCTAAGTTAGGAGCTGTCTCTTATAAAGTGAAGTTGCCTGATATAGCTAAAGTACACCCTGTGTTACAGATTTCACAATTAAAAAAAGCTGTGGGAAATTATGATGTTGAATCATCTCTACCAGCGCATTGAGGAACTAGAAACTGTTTTGGCATCAAGGAAAAATTGTTCAAGGAGACCAGCGAAGTAAGCAATGGTTGGTGAAGTGGAAAGCTCAAACTGGGAATGAGACAATGTGGGAGGATGAAGCACTACTCCAAAGTCAGTTTCCTTCATTCTGCCTTGAGGACAAGGCTGTTGCTGAAGGGGGGTGGGGGGACAATGATAGGGTGCCAAATATGGCAAATACTATAAGGAAGGGTGATGGGCTTGTGTCTGGTGAAGGGACAGTTTTACAAAAGCCTAGTGTGTAGAGAGTCTATACTAGGAGACAAAATATGGGGCTAGGGAATAATGATTAGTTAGTTAGAGGGGAGATGACGTGGAAGGAATCCATAAAATAGGGGAATTTTGGTATATGGGGAGAGAAGGGAGTGGGAGTGAGGTAGGCAAGAATATTGTGGGTTTTGCTAAGGAGAGTTTACTCCAATTACTGACTCTGGGAAATCTACCTTAGCATTGTAGAGCTTGAGCTCTTTTACTCAGTTTTATTGCATAATCTGAATAATAACACAGCATATATAATTTGTTTTTATCATCATAAAGGCTTTTTTTAACTTAATGCTGTAGCTGCTAATTGATGCAGGCTGTAAGCTGTGATGAAGCATTTTTAGATGTCACTGATTCAGAGGTTAAAGATCCCGAAATTTTAGCTTCATCAATTAGAGAAGAGATCTATAAGACCACTGGATGTACAGCAAGTGCTGGTATAGCTAGAAATATGCTTATGGCTCGAATTGCTACTAGAACTGCAAAACCAAATGATCAATATCACATAACTACAGAACGGGTATATTCTGGAGTTTGTTATTCAGAAATTGTTTTATTTTCATATTTTTCAATTTTTATTTGTGGTGTGATGAAGGTATCTTGTAAGTCATATTTCAAGTCCTACATACATTTCCTTTGTGAGTAAATCTCCTATATTTTATGCAGTCGTACGAGTGTTGGTTCCATTGATTTTGTGCTGAAAGCTTTTGCTTATGTTAGGATATTTACAGATTGAAGTATTTCTGCCAATTGTTGCTTTTACAATTCTGTATTTACAATTGTGGATTATTCTGTATTTTATGAAATTTTCGATGAGAAAAATCTACTGAGATACTGGTGTGCTAGATATGGAAGTTATTTCTATGTTTAAGTCCCTTTAGGTCTTTTGTTGACCAAGAAATTCTATTACTCTAGACCATGATGCTTTGGACTTTCCTCAAAGGTGCTAATTCTAGCTTTGACATGGATTGTGGGTGTATTGAAATTGGCTGTTAAAACTTAACCAAGAAGAGTTTATGATAATTTATACTACATGTTTTCAAGTTATACTCTGACTTTGATAACATCTTAAAGATCAACTTATTCCTTTTATTATCCTGACATTAATAAATAATTGGGACACTGAACGCATTTTGGTACTTATGATTTCTAGCTGTTGTAGTTCACATGGACAAGTAAATATATTACTATTCTGTACAGCTTATGTATTTTCATATTATGGGTGTTAGAGTTGATGTGTGGAATGTGTCAATATTTACCTAGTCTTTAAATTAGTTTTACTTTTTCCAGGTTGAAGATCATTTATTTCAACTTCCAATTAAAGCACTTCCTGGAATAGGGTATGTTTTACAGGAGAAGTTAAAGAAACAGAATGTTCACACATGTGGACAATTGCGCATGATTTCCAAGGTCCTTTCTTAATCTATATTTTCCCCTATTTTTCCTGATGTTTGGAAAGTTCAGTTGCTGTTCCTTGGCTTCCTTCCGAAGGTCAAGTTGTAATGCTTGCTTTTTCAGTCTGTTATATTATAAGTGTCCATTGTGGAAGGACTTACAAAGAAGAATGCCTGAGTATTTTATCTTTTATGTCATGTTATCATATTCATATCTTTCTGTATCATCTTTCCCATTAGAAAATGAAAAGTTTATTTAAGGAAGAAGCACACTTGAATTTGAGGAAGATCCTTCAAGAACTACAGCCAAATCTTCTTCAATGATCTAATATTTAGCACAAACTCATTTTTATGTTGATACTTGGTTAATTTACTTGCATACCCTGTATGTAGTCATGTTCCACTTCCCTTATGGGTCTGTAGTTGAAGAGTATATGTAATATTTTATGTTGTGTTCCTTTTTTACTTTCTTTCTGCAGTCCTTACTGCAGAAGGACTATGGAATCAAAACAGGAGAAATGCTTTGGAATTATAGCAGAGGAATTGATAACCGGTTAGTTGGGGACTTTCAGGTCAGGAATATTTATCTTCAAAATCCAGAGTTGATTTCTAATCTTGATTTGAGATACTTTTAAAATACTTTGGATGCACACAGTGTGGTGTTTATCCCTGTTTTTCACCTGTGAGTATCACTGTTTCAAATAAGCTTGTGTTAAAGATGATATTATCTACACTTCTGCAGGAGAGTAAGTCTATTGGTGCTGATGTAAATTGGGGTGTGAGATTCAAAGATATGAAAGATGTTGGTAGTCTTTTACACTATGTATCTTATTTTATATTTCTTGTACCTTGCAATCTTGTAAAATGGAATCAATCAAAATGTTGACATAAATGTTATTCAGTGTGAACACTTCCTAATAAACCTTTGCAAGGAAGTCTCCTTGCGATTGCAATGTGGTGGAGTGCAGGGGCGCTCTTTCACTCTCAAGGTATTGGTTTGCATTCAGCTGGATAGATTTATTTTTGTAGATTATTCAGATATCACCTTTCTGTTGACTGTTGAACTTCTACTCATGTCCCCTTTTATTTCTGAAACTGTTGTGTACTACAACCTATCATAATATGTTTCTGTTGTGTACTACAATCTATCATAATATGTTTCTTATATCTTGAGTCTACAAAATTGAAATTTGTTAATATTTTTGGATAAATGATTTAGATAAAAAAAAGAAGAAAAGATGCTGATGAACCTGCGAAGTTTATGGGTTGTGGGGATTGTGAAAATTTGAGTCACTCAGTTACGGTACATATTGAAACGTCAAGCACGTGTTGTTGAACTTTCTTGTCTTCAACAAGTTTTTTTTTTTTTTTAATTGTTAAGGTCTGATTTTGTCTCAATGTAGATTCCTCTTGCTACTGATAATGTGGAAGTACTCCAAAGAATAGTAAAACAGTTATTTGGAAGCTTTTACATAGGTAATTTAACTCTAGCCTGATTATTCTTTTGATGTGTAGCATGTTTGGGAAAGCTTGTCTCCTGCGAAATATTTTTATTTTTTCAAAATTCTATCTGGAAACTTAAAAAATAAAAGCAATGGTTTTTTTTTTCTTCCAAAATAAGCTAATTAAATATGCATCATTTCTACCATTTTAATGAATCTATAACTAAACAGTCTGAAACATGTTGGTCAATATTTAGACATGGGAATCTTTTACTGCATTTGGTTTTATGCATAATAGGATTAGCCTCTGTTTGGTTCAAAGGAGGGTAGTGAATGGGAGGGACATTTGTTTGATTTGCAGAGGGAGGGAATGGAAAATAATTTTTATCATTATATCCTTACAATAGACAAATGGAACCATTAAGCTTTAGAATTCAAGTTAAGGATAATTTAGTCATCACATTTTAAAAACTTAAAGTACCTTTGCTCCCCTCCAAATCCCCTCAAAATTGGAGGGGAGGCAAGATTGAGGAGGTAGGGATTTTGGCTCCTTCCCCTCTCTTCCAAATAATAGAACCAAACAAGCTATTAAAGAAACAACAACCTCCTTTGGTGTAGTTTGCTACATGGATAATTTATTGCATTTCACTTTATCAAATGGTTTCTCCAGAAGTGTTCTTCTTTGGCCTTTCTTATTCCTTCTCCCCAACAAGGAGCTAGAAGAAAACAAAAATATTGCTTCAACAAAATATAGAAAGTGATATATTGAATTGTAGATGTGGAGTAAACAAGTTAGAAAAATGGAGAGATATAGTAAATATAATCTATTTCAGTTCAATTTTTTTATTTTTTTTTCCATTTAGACCTAGCCAACATTATTCATTAACTCAGCCAACAATCAGATGATATGGAATATCTTTAGCAATATTGGGGACAAAATGAAAAGGAAAATTACATCTGTAAACTTTAATAATAGTGGAGATAGTTGTTATGCAATAGACTAATATACAAAATTCTGCTTCTCTAGGTTGTCTTTGTAGAATGTAATGGGGATGAGTTTTTCCGGAGATACAAAACCATTCATGTGTCGTCACTTATAATTTAACTTATAAGAATGTTGATCCTAGAGTTTACATGACCAAGTGGTTAGGATTCAATCCTTCTCACTTCCATTCTTCATAACTAAATTATAATTTAAGTAGAAGGTGTCGTGGGCCTGCACTTCATCCAATGTTCAAGTCTGAAGTGTTGGTTTTGTACAAGCGGCTGTGGTAGAGATTAACGACCATTCTTTTGTTTCCACTTCCCCAGCTTAAACTTTTAGATGATTGGTTCTTGACAAGTTTGATTTTGAGGAACTGCTTGTAGTTGTTAAAACTTAAAATTGATCTTGGTAAATTTTGGTATTGCAAATGGCTATACTAAAGCAAACTGTCATTTTAATATGACTATAGTGCTGTCATAGGTATGGTGGTTAGGGAAGTTACACAATTTTATGTGCATTGATGATAATAGACCTGAGTAGGTATTGACCTTGTATTTATGCTGAAAGTTTCAGTAGACACTTACTGCAAATGGCTTCAGATTGTAAGTTGTTTATCATATTCTAAATTAAATGTTTGCATGTGAAGCTGGTAGTTCAGCACTTGTTGCTGTTAGTAACACTTAATAAACTTAAGTTTTAAAGTGCAGATACTGGGTTATCTACAACCAAAATTAAATGATTGCATGATGAAGAAAAGAAACTCATGTCTTTGAACTTTATATTTTAGTTTTATGATGGTATTTTCCTCCCTTAACATTTTCTATAGTGTTTCATCCCATGACTTCTAGCAGCTGATTTATATATGTTCAGTGAAGATTTAATTGGAACATCTTCGTCTTCTCTGTTTGTTGATTTCACATAGATGTCAAGGAGATTCGAGGTGTTGGCTTGCAAGTTTCCAGACTTGAAAATGCAGAGACTTCTAAGCAAGGTACCTACCTGTATTATTCTAAGTCGAGCTTAACCCAGATGGGCTGTAATAATGTATTATTTGATCATACATGGAGTTACATTTATTGGCAATGCCGGTTGCTTATATATATGTGTGGGTTGGGGGGGGGGGGGGGTTATGCTAATGTAAATCCACCCACTTTTTAGCATGATTACTTCAGCAAACTAGACATTTGGATGTATTTTAAAAACTATTATATATATATATATATATTTTTTTTTTTTTAATTTTTTTTTTTCTCTCAATAGTTGTCTAATGTTATTTATTTCATGAAGGTACATCAAAATATAATTTGAAATCGTGGCCCACATTAGGATCGGCAGGTATGGAAAATCAGAAATATCCTATGGGTAATGGAAAATGCTGTCAGACATTGGTTACTTGTGCTATTTCTAGGAGATGATTTTCAATAATGCTAATACAAATTTTCATTTTTTTTCTGTTCATTATGGGATTTTGTTAATGATGGAATTAAAAAGAATAACTTCGCTGGTTTCTCTTTCTTCAGGTCATGACCAGCCGAATACGAATGGCACTTCCGGTTGTGGAGGTAGAGATTTGCCAGTGTCTTCAGTTCAAAGGGACAATAAAATATCAAATAATCAAGCAAGTATTAATCCAATTTCCACACCTCCTTTATGTAATCTTGATGTGGATGTTATAAGGAATCTTCCTCCAGAAGTATTTTCAGAATTAAACGAAATTTATGGTGGGAGGTTAATTGATTATGTTGCTAATGGCAAAGGCATGAGTGAGAGTTCTAGCCCTTCAGGAAACTCATTTTTAGAGCAAGAAAGTAAGATTTTCTCTATTTTCTTATTGTAGCTACTTCGGACTAATACTCAACTCATATTGCCCACTTGCTTTCGAATTGTTTTTGTTGGCAGACAAGGAAGAGGAACTTTTGTATTCCGAGTCAATTACTAAAAACAAGCTATTATCAGAAAATATGGTAATTGTTTTTCCCCATTTTATTGTATTTAGACTATCTTAGGAGTGATTTTCATATTTTGTTACATTTGATTAAGATTTCAGTAGTAGTAGTAGTAGTATTAATAGGGGTTGGAACTGTTTGTTACACACAAGAATTTTATTCAGTGCTGCTATTCTCTCCTTTTCTTCTTCCTACCTGAATCTCTACGATTTCAATTTCCATGTGGTTTAATCAAATTATAAGGTTGAATTGAACCCATCCTCCTTATTTGTATTATCAGTTTATGTATCTGCTTTTTATTTTTGGTGGCTTATTACAACTGATACTGCAATTATTGTCATTAAAATGGCACAAATATTAATCTTGTTTGCTTTTATTCATATTTATTGTTTTATTTTTCCTAAAAATGTTTTATTTAGCTGCATTCATCATGTTTTATTGCCAGGGAATGCAGCATGAGGCAGAGAGAAGTGAAGCAGTACCAGGCTCAGGGCATGGACCCTATTTCAAGGTTACTCACCATTCAGGTCTTGAAAAAGATGATTTATTTCCGTCTTCTTTGAGCCAAGTCGATGGTTCAGTGTTTCTACAGTTGCCTGAGGATTTGAAAGCTGTCCTTGCTGAGCAGCTTCCTGCACACAGGATGCCAGAGATTTGCTCCATTGTTTCTGGAGTCCCTCCTAGTGAAAACCATCAGATGTCATTAGGTGTCGAACCATCTGAGAATTATCCTGGATCAAGTTACAATGAGTGTCTTTGGGCTGGGAATCCTCCATATTGGGTTGGAAAGTTTAAAGTTAGCAGTTGCGTAATATTAAAGAAACTTGCAGAAATGTATTACAAATCAGGGTTGACTGGCAAATTATCTTCAGTTTTGCACCAAACTATATCTGAATTCTATGAACTAAATCTAGTGCATCAGATTTCTGACGACAATGTTAACATTATGTGTGAGCTACTGAAGCAGTATATAAAAGTGAAAATAGAAAGGGATATTGAAGAGATTTATATTTGTTTTCGGCTTCTGCAAAGGTATGTAATGTTGCAAGTTTGTATTAAGGTTTATCTTGCCTTTTTCCCTATTATCTCACTGATAGGTTCACAAGGGTGTGCAGTAGAAAGAAGGGAATAGGCGAGAAATTCAATAACTAGCCGTTTAATTGGTTGACAACTGTAATTTTGTATTAGTTACTGTTATAAATAGTCATATGAGGGATTGGAGAGTGGGGTTCCGTCAAATAACTCCGGGATTTAGGGTTTTCTTAATAAAATTCAGAAGTTCTTTTCAGTAATTCTGTACCAGTTCTATCACTCACTATCTCCCTATAGAAATTTTATTCGTATCTGATTTGCTTGCTTTTGGATTAAGTACAATTCCTTACTGATTATGGGGATTGTGATAAGGTAGATCTAGAGGCTTCAATGGTTTAAAAATGATGTGAGTTTGTTGGTAATATACATTACTGTCTTCAGTGTGTCTGCGTCTTTAGGCTAATCCAGTGAAGCTCAAATGAGTTTGTTTTGGAAATTTGTTCAGAGTTTGTGTGATATTTGAATTTCTATTAATAACAGTTACACAAATACTTGAAAATAATGTGAAAGCCGTGGTTGTGTAGTCAGTCAGTCATTTTACTTTATTTTTTGGAATTTTATGTTTTTTGGAGTAACTCAGAACTTGCTTTCAGGTTTGCAGCCAAGTCCCAATTTTTCCTACAAGTGTATAATAATGTATTTCCTTACCTCCAGGTATATTTTCAGCCACTCTCTCTTTCATTGCTGTATCAATCAAATAACACATTCTTGAGGGACATCTGAAATATTTTAACAAGATACAAGTTTAATGATGACCCGGTTTGTACTTAACATGATGTTTATTTTAAGGGAACTGGTTTTTGTCAGTCCTTGTTCAAATCTTTGTAAATACAGAAATTACCCTTTTAAACAAATTTTAACTGTTGATTAGAAAATCAACAAATAAATTGTGATAAGATATATGCACATGTAACTAACAACACTGAAAAAACCTCAGTTAAGAGGACTGAACCATATGTTATAACCTGTTGGGGTGGGAGTTGATCACCTTGCTGGTCCAGTCTAAGTCTGAAATATAAAAAAAGCAGAAACCTGGTGAATTGCCCAACAAAATTGGCTGACCAGTTCATACATGACAATATTTTAACTCCATTTTTCTTTTGAACTAATGCAAGAGGCTCATGTCATTATTACACAGGCCATTACAGCAAAAGGACAAGAATGACATTCTTTTGAAGGGCCTCATTTTTGGCTTTTTTTAATAACTACTTTTAATTGGAGGCTTTATAAGGTTCTTTGATGTGGGACTTCAACTTGATCTGTACAAGTATATGTATGCTGAATACATATATATATATAAATACAAATTTATTGTTAGAAACATGTATTGTTATGTCTGTATAGAATGTCTAGGTTCAGTGTATCATGTAAATATCATAATTTAGAAAAGTGTATCTTTGCATGCATTGCACCATATTACATAAATATTGACTTTATGTAGTGGAAACATGGTTTTCAGCACATGCTTCGCTTTTTTCTCTCTATTAATGTAAATATATTACTCTTACTCAAATTTTGTAGGCAGCTGTTGATGACAATTATGGAGGGATTTTGTTTATACCATCATTGTAGCACATGAAATATTCAAAGTCTTACCTCTTACTGTGGGAAACTTGAGCAAAATTTACTGGTTCAACTGTGGGAGCCAATGAGGTCCGATCTAATTCAGCAGTCGCTATCGACCATTGATGTCCTGCTGTGTATGTTCAAGTTCAACAATACTGTGCCAGCTAAATATTTTCTGCACTGTACGTGCTAATTTTATGAATGTAAAACTTGGTTAATTAAAACATTTATGTTATTGGTAAATTTACAATTTATCACTTTGCTGCATTTTACTTTCTGTTCAAAATATATAAATCCCTTGTCATTCATTGATTTTACCAGACCTTTGTTGTGATGTTAAACTTCTCATATCGACCTTCTCATTAACATTTGTAATTAGTCGTTTCTTGTATGTCTCTGCGGCTCTGCAATATGAATTGTATAACTCCTTTATTGTCCATTTAATCCTTTTTCTTGTCTTGTTCCAAGTATCCTATCTTGGTTATTTATCATGTTTTAGATCTCAGCTATATCAAAGCCTGTTGGCATTGCCACATCTCTTCTACCAAGCCTGTTGGCATTGCCACATTGTTTAATGTGCAGTTATTCTTTTGTAATGATATGTATAGGTTTATTATATCCATTGCACCACAACCCGACAGCTTGCCACTTCATTCTTTGTATTTTTATAACTGACAGGTGTTTTCATGTGCCGTAATTTAATTTAATTTATAATCATTTCTATGGTAAAATTGATGGTTGCTTCTGCTTTTTTGTTTTATCCCTCTTTTACTAGTATATGCTCCTGATATTTATTAGTAGATCTATTCTAGCATTATGAATACCTGATGCCGCTGTAAGCAATATATAACATTTTTATCATTAATTTTCTCAAACCATTTCTTTAAAATGCACTCGCCTCTTCTGCCCCATTCTTTCCTTTGTATTGAACTATTGATGAGTCTTGGTAGGGTTAAACTTTACAGACGCATAAGAGAACTTCAGACTTTGTATTGCCCTGTTTTCTTACGATAACAGAATTGAGATTTTTTTGCTTGTGAGCATAACTATTGAATCAGGCGTCATTGTTGCAATTGCAGCTGGGAAGAGTAGATTTGGTCATCTACGAGAACCATAATTTGACAAAATTAACAAGAAGCTGCTTGTATAGATTTGTTCGTCTGTATTAGCTGCATATAACTAGGGCTTGAGGGAGAGATGGTGCATTTAGCTGGATGCTTACCGGGATAGTATTTTCTAAAGATGCACTCATCTTTTCCAGAAATTGTACATCTAGCGCTCTCATTCTTCCATGTGCATTTAAGCTACATGGTTGGTCTTGGGTTTATAACCTGCAGTCACTGAAAATCACATAATGGGAAATATTTTTGTATTACTTGATCTTCGTTTAGTTTATGGTAATATGAATTTTGGTAGATATATCTATATAAGTATCTAGCCTGATTTGTTTTGAAGCCTATCTGTTGCATCCGATTATGTCCTTGTGCTGCACTGTACAACGGTTCAGTAACGAAAAATCATTTTTATGTATTTAATTATCAATAATCAATAATTTTTAACAGCTTTGGGTTATCTTTGGACATGGACAGGATGTATCAGTGAATGGAAGGACTGCAGCTCAGCTGATTTCCTAAAGACAAGGTCAATTAATTTTCTGCAAGTAAGGCATATGGGGATTGTGGACTTCTTAAGTCAAACTAGACGTCACTTGGTGGCAACCACCAGGCATTAACACCTAATTTCAGACTCCTTGGAAGAGTAGCTTTTTCGCCACTATCTATTGTAGATGTGTAAGTCACTAATCCTATATCCGTCGCATCAGGTTGGAAGCACCGTGAAGCCAAGAGATTTGACCCAAAATTTCATTCTTCCAAGGGCGGCTGGTTTAATTCGGCTTGGTCTTTAGCCAATTAATCGGTGGTAGATACGACTTTGCTTACTAGTTTTTTCCTTCAAAGAGTTGTTTTAAGACTATTGAGAGATACTTAACTTGTGAATAGGAACCCATCCATGATTGACTTCCGAAACCTAAATGTACTGCGTACTTTCGGCTCGAGTATTTTGCTTTGACAAGTTTACCGAACAGAGATACGATGATTATGATGTTGATGATGAACAAACAATAAGAAATTTTAAAAAATTAAATTAAAGCATATGTATTATATTTAAAATGCAAGAGTCATTAAATGCTTGCCTTTTAAAATAATTCAAAACATTTAATAAAATATATTAGTATTTTCACACCATCCCATCTGAAAACACAATAGAAACCTAATAATAATAATAATAACGAATTATTTATCTTATGCACTAGGTGCATGTTAAGTATACGAGGCCAAGAAAAGAAAAATACTATTGATTTCAAGAATGCTCAACCAGAAAGTGTACATTGTCAATTTTCTGTTCAAGAACTATTTAATATTCAATTTGGCTTTCCATTTCTAGACCTGACCAATTTTAATGCACTTTTTTTTATTTGAATTTTATCCCAGAAAATTGTTTTTTATCATGCAATTATTTAGTTAGTTATTTTCACCTTTTAAGGAAAATAATAACGTGGGCATTTTATATTTTAGTTTAAATATGCTTTTAGACTTCTTTTAATATTTTAAATTTTTTTTTATTTTAATCTTTATATTTTCATAAATAGTTAGTTTTGATTTACCGAGTTCAATAGCGTAACGGAGTTGACTTTACTGAGTGAGACAAGGTCCGATGATTGTTATTATTGTTAATTTTAAATTTTTAATCTATTTTATTGATGTGTTTTCACGAAAATTTAGAGCAATTTGAGTCAATTATATTATCATTTAATAATCATTAGGAATTAAAAGTTTTGAACTTAGAATAATTAAAAATTAAAATATCAAAAAGAAATAAAAATAAAAATACAAAGATTAAATCATATTTTAATCAATATTAAACAATTTTAAATCTTTTTACTGATTATCTTATTCATTAGATAAAATATATTAAAAAATTTATATTTTAAGATACTAAATATATTAAGAGGATTAATATATGTATATATATATATATATATATATATAAATATAGCATTATTTATTATCTATAAGATATAATATTACCTTTCGATTAATCAAATTTTTGAAAATTTAGTTTTTTCATGCTTAATGTTATTTATATAGTCAACTTCATCTAATAGTTATTAATATAGTATAATATTACTCATTGTAATATTGACTAATTCTAAAGAAATAATTAATAAAATATATTATTGAATATTTATTATATTTAAAATATATAAACTTGATACTTATTACTATTTTTTAATCTCTCACTCAGAAATTTAATACATAAATTAAGAAATATAATTAAAATTCTCGTTTATATTCAGATTAACTTTTATATTCTTAATTGGATTTCTATTATCATTTCTCTCATTTGGGACAAGTGCACAAAGTAATTAAGAAATATGTGAAATAATTAATAATATAATTGAAAAGAAAATAATATTATTGTAAATTTTTAAACAGAGAATAAATATAGAAAAGCAAATAGATTATTTTTTAAGTTATTAGAATACTTAATAAAAATATTTAATATTTCTATATCAACGTTCTAAGAAAAATTAGTAAGACCCAGTATTCTATGCATCAAAAACATACTCCTTCCATATTAAGTTACTCATCTCTTTACGAGTTTCAACTTGTTTTAAAATATTTATTAATTTAAAAAATTAAGAAAGTACTGATTATTTCTTTTTTAATAAGAATCCTTATTATTAATATCTCACTTAAATATTTGATTAAATTATAATTATATTTTTTTAACTCTTTTAATTAGGGTATATTATTTAAAGACTATATAATTTTGTATAATATTAATTGCAATAGAGGGAGTAGTTTAGAGGTTTGGAATGCGTCAAAACAACTAACATAGCTTATTGTTGAAAATACTTTATATGTGCACTTCTTATTTTAAAAATGTAAAAAGTATAAGATACATGTTAACTTAATTGTAAATTGAATTTCAGAGGCAATTTCGAAAAATTAATTCTAATCCTACTTATTGTCGTAGCAGTTTTGATTTATTAATTTCTAAAAAACCAATACCGGTGATTGTGATTCTTAAGTAAATAAACACTTACGATAAGGATAAATGGAAGCCATCAAGAAAAGGAACTCGAAATTAAGTCCTAATTACTGAGTAAGCTCTCTTCATTTATATAGCACCTAAAAATTTTACATGCATTAGGTGTGGACGGAAAAGTAATGGCAGCTTTTAAATTTAATTAGTCAAATACATGACGGGTTTGATTTCTAATGCTCGTACAAGATGGCATTTAACATAACATAACACGATTTTTATAAATGTATTGTATTAGGTTAAATTTAACAATAACAAAATAAAGCATTAGTTCAAATTGTTAAGAGTGAATAGTGTATCGTTCACAAAAAAGTGTGAACTCATTTTCTTTACTGAATCGCACTCATTTAGGATTATATATAGCTACACGTGAAAAAAGGAATAGTAAGAAATAAAGAATAATATATTATAATTTGGTCGGAGATACAGCTGTCAGGTTGGTAACCTTTTCTAAGATTTGGTGCAAATGTTGGAAGTCAAAATGGATAATTAAGGTAAACAATTTCTGCATTCTATCTTTGTGATAAATTGCTTGCCACTGACATCATGTGTGGGTTGGTGCTCTGTGTGAATGGGGGGAGCAAACCGCGCAACGCTAAAAGCGAGACTTTGAGTCTTTGACCATATTGAAAGTCCTCATATGGAAAACGGGCTTGAGCATTTAGTATTTTGTTTTATAACTAATTACAGACTTTCATATTTTGAATATAAGATACGTATTCTAAAGAAAATATGTAATTCTAATTAATTTTTATATAATTTTAAAAAATTCAACAATTTAAAATTAATTCTATTCAACTTTAAATTGAATAAATACTTAGTTTGAGTTAAAGAGAGAGACACCTCCTCTCCCCTTACAACACATGTTTTCGAATATATAGTATTACTTATTTTCGTAATATCAACTCTTATAAATAGTTTTAAACAAATCGACAGAATATTAAATCTGCCAAAAGCGTTGATTTCTTATAGATTCAAATCTTGATTGAAATCGACATTTATATTTAGGATTTGATTATTATATATTAATTCACATCATTCTAACTGACTAGTTTTATGCGTGAAATCTTCATTTTTACGAAAAATAATAAAAATACAGAAAACCCACTTTTGAAATAAGTCTTTCTATAATTGAGGTAAGCAACATAATAA